TGGTGGAGGGGGCTGGAGGAGATTTAAGCAACTACAAGCACGCTGGTGTCAGGATACAAAGCGGCTTCCCAATTGTTTTCCCCTACAAAGTTGATGAACAGCGGTAGATTGTTTCTTTGGGTCCTTGATCCGCCTTGCATCCAGCTCCAGAGCAGGGTTGGTAACCTACTGCAATAGTGAAATGAAAGCAAAGATTTCAATGATGTCGTGCCAGAGCAACACAAGAGGACAGATAACAATAAACAAGAAAATCAGAGACATGTAGGGATCAGATGATGGGATGTAGGATAAGTGAGGATGATGAATGAGTGCATGACAAGCTTACATCTTCACCACCATATGGCCCGGGCCAAATCACACACTTGGCATGCAACTACTCATCAGCTCACACTCAGACTTCCCCTTCATCACCTTCTCAACCCAACTACAACTCCTAGACACCTCAACCCCCGTGCTCACCCTAAGTCAACTCCTTGCCCTACTACCCATCCAGCATCTACTTCAGACTACTAAGATACATCCCAGTTGAAATTTACTAGGTTATCTGCTTGTCTGCTGCTCTGCAACTGTATCCCCCATAAATTGATATGGGTAGATATTGATTGCTTTACTTTTTCCCAAATGATGGCTGCGTGGAAGCACCTGGACTAAGATGATCATCCCCCCCCCCCCCTGATCAAGTCACTATGGAAGAAGGAGCTGACCATTCTATTACTTACTCAATTTACCCTGAATTTTCAGAGCTCCCCAACATGGATTATAGTTTGGATGGACCTGCTGAAGATGAGCATCCAATTCAAGTCATAAACACTGATAAAAATCAACCAGCCAAGCCACAGGGTGTAAAGGATCCAGATGAGCTAGACCCAAGAGATAAGGGTATGCCATCCTAATCTCTGTTTTCACTTTTGATTCTATCCAACTCTGATCATTGGCCATACTTTCTCATCTCTTCCCCATTTGGCTCCAGAGCTCTCAAAGGATTGAACAAAATCAAAGAGTTTCTTCTGGACTTTTTGAAAAAAACTCAATAGGAGGTATCAAATATATCCAAATCCACCATTATTTAATTGACTGGTTTGAAAAAATCCACCCTTTTTGAAACATGTTGGTTTTTCATTCAAACCCTTTTAAGACCCTTGGTCCAAAAAAAGGTTCTTGGGAAAGTGACTGGTTTCTAATGGTGGATTTGCTACATTTGATACCCCCTAATATGAAATGGCCAATGAAACCACCCAGGTTGATGTGACCATATATGATACGGCTCACCCAGGAGAGAATTGTATGCTCTCATTTCCAAGAGGAGTTAGAAAGAGTGAGAAATGTCTTCTGTATGAGTCACCAAAAAAAGCTCAAGCTAATCATCAGTTTATTGGATTTCCAGTCCAATTCTTCCTAAGTCTTGGCCCCTTCCCCATCTGGCTAATTTTCCAAGGATGTCCATGGTCATAAGGCAAGGTTTAGATTTTATTAAGCCTTTCTGAAAACACATGTACCAATTCCTACATCTGATATCACCCACAGGGATGTTTTCTATTACAATGAAAAGCTTTTTGTAAAGCAGATTTGTGTGGAAGAGGTATGTAGCATAAATTTTGAGAGACATAGTTCTGAGATGTATAACTCATTTGATAAATAACATATCATGGACCTATTCTCTTTTGTTTATGAATAGTTTTCTGGATCTAGAAGGATCTTTCAAGGTGATCTCAAGATCATCACCAGAGTCAAAATGAGGATGTCACGGTTAATAATGGTCTTGCACAATTAACATTAATACCTGAAAGGGTGGTCTGATTTGAAGATGATCTTGATTATCAAAATAGAGGCAGGCCACAAAAGGCTGGGTGTTTGCTGGGAGGAACCTCTCTCAACAAGCTAGTTGCTTGTTGGGAGGAACCCCTCCCAACCTGGGGCACCTTGAGCTCAGAGGCACTCCTCCAATCTCGAGACCATACAGGTCTCAAGGCCAAGAGGGTTCCTGTTGACCTTGATATGTGTACAGGCCTCAAGGCCAGGAGGAACCCCTCCCATTAGCTGAGGCTCTATGGGATAGCCCAAGCCAAACCCATATGTAAATAAAGTGCATAGAAATATGGGTTTGGCAGGGAAGAATAGGCACACTCCAATCCACAGGGGACATGTAGATTGGTGTGTATGCACACACACCCCTGCAGATTGGTGGGTGCGGATGTACACCTAAGGGGATTCTATCCTCTGGTGGACATGCACACATTTGTATACAAGCTCATTAGGAAGAGAGCAATCAGTGAATTCCTTCTTTCTTTGATTCAAGCCTTGTTCTAATACCCACTTTTCGTCTCAGACCATCAAAGTCACCCTCATTGGATGCCAACCAACACCGGATCACCACAGAGATTGTCAACCAGGGCCAAGGTGGCAGTGTGTTTCTCTTACACAAACTTTTCATGCTATAATGCTGTTAAACTTAACCACATGAAACCTGATTGTTTTCTCTCCCTCAGCACAAGCGTTAATAAAAGAGTTCCAGGCTGCCATGAAGAATTTTGCTGGGGAATCTAGCTTTCAGGGCCTCTAAATTGTCTCTGGGATACCCGCAGATTTGATGGGAAGCCGTCCATTTTCACTGGTATCCAGTATCACCAGTCATAACCTACGCAATTCACCCCTGCCTCCCATTGTGGAACTACTGAACAACCAGAAACAGAGCTTAGAGGGGAAATAGACAACTACACTACTAGTAATGAAGTTAAGGCTATGAGTGCTGATGAGGCTGCCCTCTGAGACTAATGCTGAGAGAGGGTTACACTAAGAAAGAAGAAAGAGGTGTGGCTAATTTCTAACTGATTCTTAGGCTGCTATAACTAATGAGAAGGTTCCTTGACAGTCCCACAGGGGAAGAAATGAGAATATGAGGGTTGTAAATAAAGCAGAGCTCAAAGGACACTGTGGGTAATGGTATTTCCAAGGGGCAAAACACCAATCAGGCAAGGTCACTAATATAAGTTCTGAAATTAAAAGTAGATTTTATTTGAGGGGCACAATAATATCTGTAGAAGAGAAATTGCATAAGGGGTGTACAAGTAATAAGAAAACTGTATATATACTCTAGGGTACAAGATGAGCACAGGTTACAGTAATTCTGGCTACAGGAACAACATGTACATATGTAGCACAAGAGATGTGAAAAGTAAACAATCAAAAAAGGAGGATGAGTAAGAAAAGAGAATCCCAAATAATAAAGACTGTAAATGAGTGTACTGATGTTATCCTGAAGGCATATGACAAAGCATAATTGTAAAGAGTGTGTCTGAGAAAATATATGTAGTATGTAATGTGAAAAGAAAAACTTGTAAAGGAGTGTGGCTGATGTAATGAGAAAAGATGTATATAAAAGATAGTACTTGTGACATATATGATGTATGTAGCAATCTGTAAATATGTACTGTATGTAGTTAATGTGTAATGTAAATGTAAAGAATAATAACTGTAAAACTAAAACTGAAAATAAAAGGGGACAATGGAGGTGCAAGCTCTGCCTTTGTATATGTACTATCAGATAGCAAGACCCACCAAGCTTGGCTTGGCAAGGCCAGGTAGATAAAAATTGTTCTGTCATTTGAATTTTCTTGATAGTCCACTGGTCTTCTTTTTGCTTCAACATATGCAACACAAGCAAAATATGCCTTCTATATACTCAAAAAAAAAACAATCAGGCAAAACAAATGTTGTGATTTGATCTTGTTTGAGATTGAAGTTGTCTTCTTCCTTACTCAAGTCAAATCAGGATAGCCAAAATGGTCATGACGTAACACCCCTCAGATTACTCATCATTCATCTAATCAACTAACTGCCTTGTTCTTCCTGGTAAGTTTCATATTCTATGAATGAGAGTGTGACTCCTCAGACGGGTTGTTGTCATTCAATGACTCTTGTCCACCACTTCTTTTCTTCTTTGCTTCTCAAATTTGTAGCAACGCAAAGGGTCTATCAAGGGCTGTGGAGATAGATAGTCAAGAGGCATGGTGTAAAAGAGATCATTTTGAAAGTTCATATTAGGGGGTATCAAATATAATCAAATCCACCATTGTTTGATTGACTGGTTTGAAAAAATCCACCCTTTGTTAAACATGTTGGTTCTTCATTTAACCCCTTTTGGGGCCCATTGATGCAAAAAAGTGACTGGTTTCTAATGGTGGATTTCTGATATTTGATACCCCCTAATATCAACATAATAACACAGTGATATAATTTCTGCATGAATAATTGTCATAAAAAAATTTTGTAAAGAAGCTCTAATGAAGTCAAGTAAAATATATTAACTTCAATAACCAATATAAAACACATACTCATAAAATCTTATAATTTCTCCTATACTTTGCATCAAGTAATGCAAAAACTGCTGTAGTATAATTTTGCAGACATGTACTGAGTATTGTATATATACAAATATAAATGAAATAGTTACAACTCAAACTTAAACAACCTATAAAGTACATGATGCTGCTCACTATCTAGTTAATAAAACTTGCCAACATTCAAAATTAAATGGATTAACTTAAGAACATACCATCTATAAGTTTCTCACAATAGCGGGGTTCACGATAAGCTTTTTGCTTCCTGAACCCCGCTTAAATTCTTCCTGGATCCGGAAATTCTGAGCTCAAATTTAGCCTTAAATTAAGCTCAGAATTCCGACTCAGGAACCCCTAAGGCTTCCTGAGCTCAGGAAGCCTTAGGGGTTCCTGAGCTCAGGAAGGCAAATTTAGCCTTAAATCAATGGCTGTCGTATCGCTGTGCGCGGCTCCGGCAACTTGAGACGGAAATTGATCAACAAGTCAACCTCAACTCCAACCCAACTGGTTCAAACCTCTCCGATACACTTCTCAAACTCAACCCGTCAAATATCGATTTCTGTCCATCCAGAGGCAACCGTGTTGGTTGTTGTCTCAATTTTTTTTTTTAATTTTTTAACTGACTAACCGACCGATTTGTTTTTCTTTCATTATTCCCAGATCATGGATATCCCACTGGCATCGGCTCAAGATGAATCGACCGAACCAAAACGACGTCGAACGAAACCTGAGATGATTATCCATCGAGCAGAACTAGCTAAGAAGAAAGAGGCATTGGAAGCAGCCAAATTACTTAAGAAGAAGCCTCATCCAAAAGCCGTAAAGACTGCCGCTGGAACCTCTGGATCGAAGTCAACTAAGCCAACTGGGGCTGCGGATAACAATCCTCAGTTCATCGCCTCTGACTTTGAACTCATATGTACTTATCTTGAAGATCCGCATCACTACACAGAGATCTACGGAAACGGACCTCGAACAGGGGTGGGACAGCAAGTCATGACGAAATCAGCAGCTTACGACCGATTTGCAATATTTATGAATGATAAAACTCACAAGCGACTGCATTTGGACGGCAAGCTTCTTCGACAGCGTATTGAGGCCTACAAGAAGAGGTTTGTAGCTGCCAAGAGATGGGCCGACAACACCGGTGCGGGGATTGAAGAGGGGGAGGATATCGTTTCGATTGACGTACTCCTAGAAGGGAAATGCCCTTGCTACGAACGAATGTCAGCCCTCTTCGGTGAGAAGCCTAATGTCACCCCTGCGGCCCAGTACGAGTCCCAACAAGGAATGTCGCTTTACAATCGGCCGGTTGATAACGACAATCCAGACAATCCGAGCAATCCTGAAATGTTTTACCCCGGCTGGGAACCAACACAGGAGGTACTGGACCAGACGACCCATGTGAACGAATCACCCGATCTGGCAACCTCTGGGCAAGCAAATCAGACCTCTGGAGTGGATCAGTCCAACGACAATCCAGACTTGCCTGATAGCCTCTTGGACGCTCCACCAAGTCACCAACCTACTCCTCCTCTCGATTCAGCCCCCGTTTCTGCGATGCCCTCGACGTCGGCCACCCCAGGTCATCAGCTTGGCTCGTCTCAGCCCCGCCGTACGATGGCGTCTATGCTTGCCGACCTCCGAGCGAACATTTCAAGGGAGGAAGAAGATGAAGTTGACGATGCTGAACCGTCGGGTTCAGCTGCGCCTCGTGGACGATTCGTCAATCAAGTTGATCGATCGATCCCTGCCCCGAGGAGGGAAACAAACAATCCCAAGGGCAAATCAACAGTCGCTGCTGCCTTTGGATCATCGTCTGACAAGAAGTTTGCTTACCTTGATAAGCACATGGAGATGGAGAAAGAGAAGTTTGAGTGGGAAAAATCTAAGTACAAAAGCGAGCAAGGTGACATAACCACCCGAGAAAATGCTAAGATGCGCGCGGCCGAAAAATGGATTAGCCAGGGGAAGAGTCCTTCAGACATTGAGATCCTCATGAGAACTGTCTTCTAAGATGCTTCACATTTCAATTTTCAATTGTTTCACTTCTACGTATCTCAATCGATCAATCAAACATCTATAATGATCGATCTCATCTCCTGTTCCTCATTAAATTCACTGTGTAAGACTCAAAGCAAAAACTTGTACTCCATTTAGGTCTATGGATAAATTAACATCATTACCGCTCACAAAAGCTAGATCTACAATGATGATGAGATAGGAAAACTGAGAAAAAAATAATCGGAGTCACTTGGGATACAACACAGGGGGTGATTTTCAGTGTGATGGAATAGGTAATGTACCAACTAAATGATTGAAGAGCAAGCACTTTTCTTGAATCTCTTCGCGGTGGCCCTCAGTATTATTTTCATGATTTCCTTCTGAATCACCTGGCTCATCGTTATCATTTGGGGTCGCAAGTTCGTCCCAAGAGTCGCCGAGGTGCGCCAGCATATTGTGTAGAGCCACACAACAGTTGATCCAGCGGATTATCTCAACCATGTGCTGGGGTGTATACAAGGATAACCAAAGCTGCTGAAGGGAGGCCCACCGGCCCTTGAGAATCCCAATTGTGTGCTCGTTGCGTACTCGAGATTTGGCTAAACAATAATTGAATTCTGTGTTTCGATTTATCTTTGAGAGTGGCGATTTATATGCTGGGATCGTTGTCATCGATAGTGCGTAAGCCGAGTCTGCAATAAGATATTGACCTGGACAACCAAGCAGAAATCAATCAGACAGGAAAATGAAATGATAATTGATTCAAAAAGACAGACATTCTACATACCAGGGTCGAAAAACCTATCGGGTTCCAAATGAACCTTCATGTTCTTGAAAACTAAGCTATCACCACATGTTCCTGGCCACCCGGTCATGAACGAGGTGATGAATCTATCACAATCGCATATCACTTGACAGTTGATCGAATACTGCTTCTTGCGATCCCAATATACCTCACCATCAAGACCGGGTCGTTGGTGTAAGGGAATTGTTGTGCCGTCCACAAAGCCGATGCATCCTTCGAATCCTTCTTCTGTCATCACTTCCGATATCTCAGCTCGTCGCTCTTTATTAGGCCAAACAATGTAGTTGGTCGATACTTCATTAATTGCTCGAATAACGCGCCGGCTGACTTTAATGACTGTACCCCGCCCGACGCTGAGATTACGTGAGAAACGTCCAACCGAAGCACCGTTCCCGTTAGATCCAAGTCGTTCGAGTGTAAGGGCCAATTGATGGGGAATGGGGAGCTGAGGCCGAGGGCTATTGCTGTAAAATATAGGATGGTGACGGATTCGATCAAGCAGCCAAAGGAATCCGTCTTTGGTGGTTCTGACAGCTTGTTTGAAGTCGTTATCGCGCATGTCAAAAAGCTTGGCTAGGTCGTAATCGTCGTGGGTTGTTGGTGTGGTACGCAAGCTCAAATATCGATGTGAAAGTAACTCCTCGAGAATTTCGGCGACTTCTGCTTCGTCATCAAAAAACATCTCCCAGATAAATTGTAAGCTGGGTTTGCCGGGAAAGAGAATCGCACCAAAGCTGGGGATCGATGGGAGTTTCATGACGCCATCGAGAATTGCTTCGGTTGCCTCGTTGTGATGGTACGCCATGATGAGGAAGACCTCCCTGATGAGTTGTTGGCGTTCACTGAGCCCTCGCATACTGATTTTTGAGTAGATTGTTGTGGCAGGCAGGAAATACCGTTTCCATTGGGGGGGGGTGGCCTTGAATTTTGCTGGATCCTTTAACCAGCTAGCTTAATTTAGGCTAAAAATTAAGCCTCCCATCGAGTGCTCACAAATAGCGGGGTTCTTAAAAATCTTCCTCAGAAAACCTTATCATGAACCCCGCTAATTAGTATAAATGCATTCACATCAAATATATACAACTTGCACTAAGGTAGAATGAGCCATGTGCTTAGTTGATATAATGGATAAACTGCACAACTTTATTCACAAAATGCTCATTACATAATAAAAAAGCAGAGAAAAACTCTCAAATAAGATATAACTAATACACCTTATCTCTCCCCTCAGCAATCACAGCTTGTATCAAGCATCTTTCAAGATTATTAAATATAATTATTTAGCACACTAAATGTCAATCAAGTGTGGTATATATCAATATCTGCACAAAGACAATTGGGTGGTTAAAACCTTAAAATTTTAAAGGATACCACTCAATAGGGGGGTTCACAATAGGAATTTACAACAATTTTAAAGCCCATTTTAAGGTGTTTATTGACAACTCTTGGAAAAATGAAAATGTTGTTCTGATTGTTCAGAAACCACAAAATCCATATATCTTGTCAAAATTCTAAAATCTTGTTGATAAGGACCTTAAAATTGGCTATAAAAACTTTATAAATTTCTCAAGACATGGTAGAATTAATAATATTTCATCTAGACAACATTAAATTGGCAAGGTTTAATGGATGGGTTTCTAGGGATGAGACAAAAGAGATGAAATTCCAACATAGTTCATAAGAAAAGCAGGATAACCAAAGTCCTTCTATGACTAGAGAAAAAACTTACTTCATTAAACATCTAGAGAATAGGAGATTGACCCAGTACCAAAGAACAAGCAGGAGTAAACAATCCAGATGAACAATCTTCTGAAGGCATACAAAAATCTAGTCAGTCTTGTCTCAAATAAACAGACGAAAAATCTTCCTCTATTTGTTCAACTGGTAGGAAAGGGAGTGAAGTATAGACCTGCATGCTTGGAGAAAATATAGTACACTTTGGATGAAGCAATTGGAAAGGGCTGAGCCCTCCTCTCTGCTGCATGATATAAACACTATGATCTGCCATACATGCATTTATGCATAAGTAGACACGTCAGCTATACATATAAGATATCAATGCTATTGAAAGCTTACACATAGTTGACAAGGACCATACATCAAACTCAATCTCTATCTTAATCTAATGAACAACTGGGAAGCCAAGAAGCTTGACCAAATCCAGATCAGTCCACAATGCAATGCTGGATAAATACAAAGGAGGAACGTTTGGTCAAAACCGTAAGATGATGTACAGTAAGTCATATATCTTTAGCCAAATGATAAAATCTGAGATAAGATAAAAAGAAATACTTGTTAATTGACCTGGATTGTCACAATAATAACTAAACATACAATTCAACCAATCAATCAACTAGGTGACTGGTTTAACAAAAACAACTCAAAAAACCAGTACCGTACTTCCTTTTTTCTATCTCTTTGATCCTAATCTTGGAAAGTAGAAAGTAGATAAGTAACATAGACATAGACTTATCTTTGCTTATTGATATATATAGACAGCTGCATACTCTTTCTCTAACACATACATGAACATTATGATGTATAACTTAATCCACTACCTTTAATATCATTCTAAGAATTGAATAGAGGATCAGCAGATGCCATATACTCAAAGAACAAGCATACACAAAAGCATCTAAACCAATCAAGTGGGTCTACATTGACACTTTTTCTTTCTTACTTCTCAAAGAAAGCATTAACACTGACAGTAGAACTATGATCTTAGTAGATTACTTTGAGCAACGGTAAACCCAAAAATTCACTGCTCATTTGGCATGAATAAACTAGCCATACATACTCAATCTGATGGGTATTGGATTTGGCTCTTAGTCTGTCTTAGTCAGTCCTGGACTCATTATACTAATCAGGTATATAAGAGCCAACCTCTGACACTTACTTGGGCCTTGTATGAACAACTTGTTTCATACTTCTGACGGCAACAGTGTCTCAAATTCCACTGTTTATACCAGAGTCTCCAGAAATTTGTAGTAGAATTCCTCCTCTATATCTTAACAGAGAAATAAACCGCACATTCTTTGATTACCAGAAAACTACTAGCTTTGTATTATAATAATACAGATTTATTAATTAGTACTGACAATAGAACTCTCTGATCTTTGAAAGCAACCTGTAGAATGGTTCAGGATAACGACTGTACAACATCAACAATCAAAATTAGCGGAAGAAGATTGTTGACTTCTAAGCTCCTCAATTAGCACGCAGTGGTAAAGGTAAGGACATCAAACTTGCTAAATTGGGTGACAACCTATTTAAGATGAATACCAAGGAAAGTACTCCAGCTTCAGCTGAGTCAGCCAATTCATCTGAAAAATTCACATTGTCCAAAGAATCCGACCACTTGCCAGTACACAAAAAGCAACTCTCTACCAAACCGGAAGAAGAGGACAGCGGTATCTGGCATCCTGCCGCTGCCAATGTCAAAATCACAAATAAGAACGGCAGCAAGGAGAAGATCCAAGCAGACTGGATCATTACACATACTGAATTACAAAAACAGGTGACTCCAGTCGTTTGTTTTAGAGCTGAAAGGTTGTTGAGTATGGATAATGCTCTATTCAATTGAGAAAAACAAGCATATATGTCTCAAAATTATCTGCACTCTTGAGTCTCTTGAATTCAAAGGAACCTATAAACTAGCAAATATAATACTTTTCATTTATTAGTGAAAAGAACCTTCAGATAGTAACAGTGAGAGCTATTGGGCTATCGGCCAAGTCAATTTCTGGAAGTGAAAAGCCCTGGTGAAAGTTCTTGAAGCCAGGAATGTCTGACTGGCCCTCGTCCAACAACTTTGTGGCTATACTGAATGGCCAAACAAATTGATTGTGCAAACATCAAATGAAGGAGCTCTTTGTCTAATGTCAAAGGTGTCTTTACCAATTGAAATGGCACTGCCTTTTTCTTCTTATGAACACTTATCCCAATCAACAAAGCCACACTTGAGCAATCAAGCTATTGATTGCTCATACCCCTGCCATTGGCCCTATTCTGGATGCAAACAACATGCCATTCCAACACGGAGTGACAATCAGTAACGGTCCAAATCTTGAATCAATCAAGCTCCATGTTGGACTAGTTTGATTCCAAGCCCACACCAAGGATGGATGCGCATACTCTAATGGTGACTTCAACTTACAAGTTACAGGAATCCCCAACAATGATTCTATGGACTTGTTCTGTATGAATCCAAACTCAAAATCAGTAAGTGCCAAGTGGAAACATGCAAATTGACACTGCGACCACGTGCCATGTCTGTGAAGCAGAGCAACATGAAGAGAGTTGTAGTTGCAAATTTTTTAAGGCCATAGACGTGGTCAATGACCGACATTGCAAAGGTAAATCAAAGAACATTTATGAACTCAACTTCTTTGACGCCTCATCAGAATACGTGTCTCTTGCTCCGTCTGTCAATAAACGCAAGGTTGCCCCCAAAAAGATGTTTGAAATTGATGGCAAGATTTATATCTAAAAGCTGTAAGATCATCTTTGATATTCATACAAAATTCCCTTCCTGTGGGACAACATAAATCAAACCAACATCAATCTGTTCATTTTCAATAAACAGAAATCATGACATCTATATAGTAGTTGTTGACAAATACGGGTAGCTTCCACACAATATAGCACTATCATTCAGGACTAACCCAAACTAAGGAGCCTTATTTCATCTTTTTCCTGCTTTTCATCTATGTACACTGAAATCTAAACAATAGGAGGTATCAGATATAACAAAATCCACCATTATTTAATTGACTGGTTTGAACAAATCCACCCTTTTTTAAACATGTTGTTTATTCATTTAACCCCTTTTGGGGCCCTTTGATGCAAAAATGTTTTTTGGGAAAAGTGACTGGTTTCTAATGGTGGATTTACTATATTTGATACCCCCTAATATAAGACTCACTGTAATACTTCTTACCAAAACATTGTGTAATGATACCACACTGCATTGATTCATGATAGACCTTCAATTTATGTTAATATGCTATATTTTATACTGCCTTACTCTTCTGATAAAGTTACTGACAGCAACATATGAAGTACTGCTCTGTAAAAAGAGCCTGTTGAGAAAGACTTTAGAAAACTTTGCCTAACTCATCAAACAAGTTCTAGACAATGGATTGGGAATGAGGAATAAGGTACAACAACATGATATAATAATCCTGTCTTAATGTCTTCATCAGTGTATTTCCCATACACTTAAAAGAAGCCTCTCCCAACCTCTAGATCTAACCAAACAATTCACTCCTATCAGTATTATGAGAATACTGTTCTTTGAAAAAGAGTATGTTGGGATACTGCTTGTCTAACCTTAAATCCTAACAATTCCAAAAGTGAAAAAAAGGAAGTTGACACTGGGCTCTTTTCTAATCCCTTAACCAATTTGTTTTCCTTTAGAAAACTAAGGGAAATAGTTAACCAGACAACTTTTGATAAAATCAAACACCAAATCACTTGACCTAAGTGTATAAACTAAGCTATCAGTTGGATACCTGAATAAACAAATCCAAACTCAACACCCCACAAGAGCACAACTAAAATTAAATCAGGTTTCAGACCACTTTTACAAGGTATCCAGTGAGAATTCAGAGGTGGGCTCTGCCTCAGGGGAGGCCCTTGGTATATGTGGTGTGCCAATTGAGACGGCTATTAGATCATACCCGTTTGGGGTTGCTGCCTGGGCCCCATCGGGAGAAGAGGCTACCAGCAGGCACCTTGTTCCCTCTCTGGGTGCCTCTTTAATTCACCCTACTTCTCTAGCCACTTCTGTTGTTGCACAATCTAAGAGAGGAGATGCCCTGGGCTCACCAGAACAAATGCGTCATAGGTGGATAAGTAAACCATAAGAAGAAATTAAATAAAGCACAAAGATTTATTCTAACAATTGTGGCTCTCTGACCACCCCCCAACTGTTGTGGCCCTTAAAAACACTCTTAAGGAACACCCCAATACATTTAAGGGAATCTTCCAGCCAAACAGACATCATAGATTTGATCTCTGGGTTAAAAATGGAAACTCTGCTGGCCTCCAAAGAGCACTGGGATTGGAATTCTGTGGACGTGAAAGGCTAGCTGAAAATTCAGGATACAAATGTTCCATGGGACCAACACCTAGTCCAAGGCATGTCGCCAAGATACAGACTTAGCCAGTGGAAAAGCTACAGGGATAGGGCAACAGAAAAAGGAGTGTCCCTACAATCCCATCCATTGCACTTGACAGCTTTTTAACATGAGATATTAATGGTATAAGCTCCAGACTTTCATGTTTAAAGGACCTACCAATCACGAAGGGGGTTGCCATTGCTGCTGTCCAGGAACATCTAAGGACTGGATGGCAGCCAGTACCCATGACACCACAGTATACTCAGGACCAAAACAGCAGGGGTTCAGAGGACATTGTTTCTATGTGCACAATTCACTTTCTGCTCAATAAATATTTACAAAATTTAAACATATAATACATATTAAAGTGTTTGGACCTACCCAGGATAAGGCATGGCACATAATAGCACTGTATCTTCCATCTGGCAACTCCAGAATCAAAGGAAGAAATATAGTGTGGGCCAACATCAAACAAATATGCAAGGACATTTGTAAAGATGATCTTAATCACCCTTATGCAAGACTCGAACCAAGACTGCAATGAAATAAATAAAATCCTTCATCAATTTTCTTGGGAAACTCAGAGTCTAAAATTGATCAAAGACACAAATTTAGAACATACTAGAAGGACCAGTAATAAACCAGGATATATTGACCATATTAATAGCGCAAAGTCAGCAAGTAATTTCAATAAAGAAGTCAATGTAGATATGTTATCACATAATGTAAGTGATCACTGGCCTGTGTTTACCACAAACAATCTGTGTACAAAGAATTTAACTCCACAAACCAAAAAGTGGAACAGAAAATCTATATATTGTTGGACACGGAATTGAACTTGCACTATCTCAAAAATGGGATATAAAACAGTCTGATGATACTGACTCTGAAGACAAGCTCAATGTTTGTGCAACAAGCTGGGTGAATACCTTGAACCCCATTGGGGAAGAGCTAGTTTGATAAAACAACTTCTCAACTAATAAACATATCAAGAAATGCCAGAAGGAGATGGGCTTCAATAGATAAAGATAACACTCCATATTTTGTTGCCAAGAAATTGACTAAACAAATAGAAATAGCAAGCAATGAAGCTAAAGTTGCCATTGAAAAATTTGCAACCAAACATAAACTTAACAAAAGTAAAAAGATTGATGACTTGTTGCTTGACAATGAAGGTGACCAATTTCACCAAGCCATTCAAAAAGCACAAGGTAGATCTAGAACAAAGCAGGAAACTATGCCCTGCTTTAATGACAATAACATACTAGTTACTAGTTTAGAAGACATCTTGGAAACCAGAGCACCTTACTCAGAAAAAATGGCTACTGACCCCACTGGTTATCCAAGAACAAATTATTTGGGAATCACATCACACCTAAAATGAATAAAAAAATAGGGGGTATCAAATATAACCAAATCCATCATTATTTAATTGACTGGCTTGTAAAAATCTACCCTTTTTTAAACATGTTGGTTATTCATTCAACCCCTTTTGGGGCCCTTTGATGCAAAAATATTTTTTGGGAAAAGTGACTGGTTTCTGATGGTGGATTTTGTATATTTGATACCCCCTAATAGGGGGATGCTACATAACTCAAATCCCTGTCACATACCAGACAGATGGACATGTCTAATAATGATGAATCCACACTAGAAGCTGCTGCATTTATATCAGCCATTCAAAAAATGCAGAGGAGATCTGCTGCTGGAAACAGTGGAGTACTAGCCATTCAGATAAAGAAATTCCTTGAAGTTGAAAGTCAACTTCAAATTAGTGAGGATTGGGACAACTGTCCACAAAACACCTTTGGGGATAAGCAATATCCCCAACCACTGGATTATTCCACAGTTTCCCTTGATAGATGGTCCGTACCAGAAAAGCTTGTGGTTCCTCCATTCAGGCATCTTCTCAACATTATGAAAGCCTGTCTCAAATTGGAGACCCAGCCTAGAAACTGAAATGAGGAAATTTTAATTATCCTCCCAAAACCAGGACAGGATACAAGATATTCAAAAAAAACTAGAGATACCACTGTATCTTGTACAGAAGGTAAGCTACTGTCAACAATTGAATCAACACATATTTCTCATATATTGGAAAGCAAGGGTTTCTTTTCTACGGCACAAGCAAATGGTCAAGAGGCCACCTCACATGTAGTTGAATTAACTAGAATTATACAGAGGAGGAGAAGTATTGGGAAATCAACATATGCAGTATATATTGACTTTAAGAAGGCATTTAATAGGGTACCATGTGAAGGATTGTGAGCAAAACTCCTTCAAATTGGAATTCACCCAACTCTAGTCAATATAATTGAAAAAGGATACAATGAATCTAGTATATAATGTAGACTAGGAAGTAATGTATCCAGACCTTTCACTAGACAAGGTTACCCACTTTCCCTGTTACTCTTTATTATCTTTGTAAATAAAATATCAGATAACACAACACAAGGAGTGATGGTGTCCGGATGACCAAATCTCACACAAGGGCTACTTTTTGCAGATGACACTCATTCTTGCTGAAAGCAAACAGGAGGACTCAGAAATATCAGAAAAATTGTCTGAATATTGTAAAAAGTGGCACTTTGCCATAGGGCATGAAAAATGTGGAGTAGTGGAATATCATCCTCCAAGCATGCCTCCCTCAACATCTTTTACAGAACACGCTAAGATACCTACAAATACCTTGGGTGTCACATTCCCAACAAATTTGATGAAGGGGAATCATATTCCATAGAGTTAGAACACTCCAAATTATTAGAAGTAAAAGCTAATAATTCAAAATTCTTGACCCTTCCCTCTCTGTATGATAAATCCATACACTTATCATGTAAAGCTGGAGCAGTGAAAACCTATGTAATGGCAGCTTGTGCATACAGAGCAGAATGAATAGCTTATTCATTCCAACTCCTCCTCTTTCTTCTAGTTTACTCCTTCCATGACTTACCCCTTTCATCAAAGGATTTGGAGCAGATGATCAGTCTGACTGAATCAATCAGACAGTTGTTATCAACAGGCACAACCAATACGGTAGACCAGGTGACCAAAGGATGGAAAATCATGAGAAAGGAAACACTTTTAGTTGACCACATTTCCATTAGTCTGATAACATGCATGATATGGTATTGCCGTGCTTGGCGGCAAAGCTGTGATTGTTATTCAGCTGGAAGGTTAGTTATTAGTACTCCACTTCCAATTCTCATTCCGCATCCCTAAAGCAACCAGTTCAGCTACCACCTCTCTCCCCAGCATATTCATTCCAACTCCTCCTCTTTCTTCTAGTTTACCCCCTTTCATCTTCAAATACCAATGCTGAATGATGT